GCCTGCTGACCCTGAAAGGGTTAATAAAGATTCCCATATGTTGCGTAAGTGTCTCAGTTTTCAACTTGTCAGTTTTCAAATCATTTATCACAACTTATCTGGATAATGATGTTTAGTTTTACTGCAGAAGCTTCTATTTCGTTGTACATCATTTTCTCATTCCCTGAGAGGTAGTGTGAAAAATAGAAGGATTACAGAGGTCACAAAGGCACTTTCTTACAACCTACTGGGAATAGTTACATCTTTATATGTTATTCATTTTGTATTTAATAATTGCTTCACATGCCTACACTACACAATGCAAGATATAGATGGAATATCAAGAAAATTTTAGTAATCTTATTACTATTAAAAGTACAGAGATCTCATTGGGATACACGCTCTTCAAACATCAGTTCATTCTTCAGCTTAATGCAGAAAGTTGATACAGTGGGCCCCCGAGTTTTGTGATTAATCCATTCCAGAGAGCCTGCCGAAAGTCGAAATTGCTGAATGGCGAAACCATTTCCTTCATAAGAAATAATGGAAATAAAATTAATCCGTTCCAGACACCCAAAAATGTTAAAATAATTTTTTTTTTAAACTAAATAAAAATTTACATACTGAAAACAATGAGAAATCAAGTACATGCATATAAAAAATAATAATAACATTACACTTACCTTTACTCAAGACTTCTGGGTGGATGGAAGACGGGAGGAGGGGATAGGAGGAAGGTGTACACTATTGTTTGGAAGGAGAATCTCCTTCCATTAGAACTTCAGATATGAAGTCCTTATCTGGGGTTACTTCCCTTCTTTATTTTTTAAAGACACAGGCACTGGGAACAACTTGAGAGTCACTGGAACCCTGTCGCACAAAATATCTGTCCAGAGAAACTCTGTTTCTGGCGTTTCTTTAAGATTTGTCTGAAGTGGGACACAACACTGTCATTGTACATGTTGCCAATACGGCCTGCAACAGCTTTGTTAGGGTGAAGTTCATCCATAAATATTTGCACTTCAGTCCACTTTGCACAAATGTCCTTAATCTGTTTTTCGGTAATCCACACCAACAATAACATCTCCACTTCTTCGAGGATTTGTGATCTCCTTTTTGTCAGCATATCTACCCCTTTTGCAACAACAGCACACTTTATTTCCTTTCCTTTCACCACAATCGAAGTGATGGTTGAATGGGGTTTGCCATGCATCCTGGCAAGCTCTGTAACACGCACTCCACTCTCATATTTTTCAATGATTTCCTTCTTGAATTCGATCGTGTTCCTCACTTTCTTTACCAAAGGGCTTGCACTAGCTTTCCTTGGGCCCATGGTGACTTATTTAGCAGTTGCAATCACAAAAAAAAAATGGATTATTACATATGAACCCGCGGGGTGATGGTCACGTGTTGGTAAACAATGGCACACTGAGCGTGAATGGCATGGGAGACTGGCTTTGTGTGCACGGTGACAGGCAGACGGGTACCGGATGGTCGCTGAATCATGAGTCTAATCACGAACTGCGAGGCCAAATTTTGCCGAAAAAACTTGCCGAAAGTCGGATTTCACAAAAGTCGATGCTGCCAAAACTTGAGGGTCCACTGTACACTATAAAGATTTCAGATATTTAATCATTAACAATGAGGTGCTTATATATTTCCTGTAGGGTTTGCATGGAGTTGTCTCTGAAAGACTGAGCATTTGGACACTAAGTCTAAAACATAAAGTTCCATTGTATGGTCCTTTCTCCATCCACACACTGGCCTGGCCTTAATCTAACAGTGACAACTTTTTTAATCTACTATCCTTATTATGAACACAGGTATAGTATGGCCAGTATACCTGGTCATAATGGGATTAAAGTGGAGCAAACAAAACTCAACAATAGAATATTACTTGTATTTTCCTTCACCAAGTATTAACAAGGTTGTATTTACAAGTATATACACTATGTGCAATATGTACAGTGGTGGAATAATTGCTTTTGCAAAAGTAAAAGCCAGAGAATGCACAGTACTCGACTAGCAGCCCAGGCAGGTCTGTCAGCTTGGCACAAGTGAACCACATTGCTTCAGCATTGGCGAGCTTGTCTATGATTAGGGTACCCTATAGATCATTAAATCCTTAGCACTGGTTCGCTGGTTGGGAGCAGCCTATATGGGAGTGTGACATAGGCCGAATAAAATGTAACATACTCGTAGCATGCCACAAACATTATTACTATCTACAGAAACATTTTACTTGAAACATTTCATAATGATGAGCAGCTCAGATCACAACATAACAGAGATACAGACATGTATGCACAGAGCTGACCAGGAAAATGTGATCAGTCATGAAAGTGTCTTCACAAAATTCAACTTCAGTAACAAAAACATACCATGGGAACAAGTCAACCATGTCCTGAATGAATCAAGCTAGAAAGATATCCTAAACAACATGGATCTGAACCTTTGCCTAGAAAAAATTAACTCTGTGGCTCTTGAGGTCTGCTCAAGGCACATTCCATTAAGAAAAAGAAAGAGAAGATGTAAACTAGAAAGAGAGATATGTTCCCTATTCAGACAAAGGTGAAGAATCACAGAGCTGCTGAGATTTGCCAATATGTCTGAAATACAAAGGGAGACACTGGTCAGAGAAATAGTAAATATCGAACTTAGGCTTAAGGAATCTTTCGGTGACAGGAATCTCAGGAAGAACTAAAACCTATGAAGGAAATTTAAAAAACGTAACAAAATACTACTTCTTTCATGCCAAATCTAAGGGTAAAACATTCAGTATTGGGCCCCTGCTTAGGCCAGATGGGACATACAGAGATGACAGCAAAAAAATGAGTGAGATACTAAAGTCCCAATACACTCAGTTTTCAGTGAGCCATTAACTAGACTAAGGGTCGACAATCTAAATAAATTCTTTATGAACGAGACCCAAAATTTTATCATCTCAAAAATCTCTGATATTATCCTAACACCACAAGACTTTGAAAAGGCAATAAATGATATGCCCATGCACTCTGCCCCAAGTCCAGACTCATGGAACTCTGTATTCATCAAGAACTGCAAGAAGCCCCTGTCACATGCTTTCAGCATTCTATGGAGTGGGAGCATGGACACAGGGGTCATCCCACACTCACTATAAACAGCAGGCACAGTCCCACTCTACAAAGGTGGCAGTAAAACAATTGCAAAGAAATACAGATCAAAAGCACTAACATCCCATATCACAAATATCTTTGAAAGGGTTCTAAGAAACAAGACTGCCAGCCACCTAAATACCCATCAATTACACAACCCAGTGCAACATGGGTTTAGAGCAGGTCGCTCCTGTCTGTCTCAACTATTGGATCACTACGACAAGGTCCTAAATGCACTAGAAGATAAAAAGAATGCAGATGTAATATATACAGACTTTGCAAAAGCCTTCGACAAGTGTGACCATGGCGTAATAGTGCACAAAATGCGTGCTAAAGGGATAACAGGAAAAGTCGGTCGATGGATCTATAATTTCCTCACTAACAGAACACAGAGAGTAGTCGTCAACAGAGTAAAGTCCGAGGCAGCTACGGTGAAAAGCTCTGTTCCACAAGGCACAGTACTCGCTCCCATCTTGTTCCTCATCCTCATATCTGACATAGACAAGGATGTCAGCCACAGCACCGTGTCTTCCTTTGCAGATGACACCCGAATCTGCATGACAGTGTCTTCCACTGCAGACACTGCAAAGCTCCAGGCGGACATCAACCAAATCTTTCAGTGGGCTGCAGAAAACAATATGAAGTTCAACGATGAGAAATTTCAATTACTCAGATATGGTAAACATGAGGAAATTAAATCTTCATCAGAGTACAAAACAAATTCTGGCCACAAAATAGAGCGAAACACCAACGTCAAAGACCTGGGAGTGATTATGTCGGAGGATCTCACCTTCAAGGACCATAACATTGTATCAATCGCATCTGCTAGAAAAATGACAGGATGGATAATGAGAACCTTCAAAAACTAGGGAGGCCAAGCCCATGATGACACTCTTCAGGTCACTTGTTCTATCTAGGCTGGAATATTGCTGCACACTAACAGCACCTTTCAAGGCAGGTGAAATTGCCCGACCTAGAAAATGTACAGAGAACTTTCACGGCACGCATAACGGAGATAAAACACCTCAATTACTGGGAGCGCTTGAGGTTCCTAAACCTGTATTCCCTGGAATGCAGGAGGGAGAGATACATGATTATATACACCTGAAAAATCCTAGAGGGACTAATACCGAACTTGCACACGAAAATCACTCACTACGAAAGCAAAAGACTTGGCAGACGATGCACCATCCCCCCAATGAAAAGCAGGGGTGGCACTAGCACGTTAAGAGACCATACAATAAGTGTCAGGGGCCCGAGACTGTTCAACTGCCTCCCAGCACACATAAGGGGGATTACCAACAGACCCCTGGCAGTCTTCAAGCTGGCACTGGACAAGCACCTAAAGTCAGTTCCTGATTAGCCGGGCTGTGGCTCATACGTTGGTTTGCATGCAGCCAGCAGCAACAACCTGGTTGATCAGGCTCTGATCCACCAGGAGGCCTGGTCACAGACAGAGCCGCGGGGGCGTTGACCCCCGGAACTCTCTCCAGGTAAACTCCAGGTAATACTTTTGGGTGTCTGAAATGGATTAATTGGATTTACATTATTTCTTATGGGGATAATGGTTTCGCCATTTGTAAATTTTGCCTTTCGTAGACTCTCTGGAACGGATTAATTACGAAATTCGAGGGTCCACTGTACAAGAATTTGAAAATTCTGAGCATGCACAAGATTCTGAGCATTCTTAACGAAATTTGTCAAGTAAACATGTGTATGAAGAAAATAACATCTGTTATAATTATCTCTACCAGAATGGTTTGTATGGAAGCGTCAGTGACACAAAATGCAAAGTGTGTGGACAGAGACAGGGCCATACACTGAACACTAGACAAATAAGTGTACCCCATTGACTTAAAAACTGACCTGGGTCAGGGGTTGACTTACCTGATGCAGGGGGTTGCCTGGACGACAGTGCAGAGCACCCACCTCCACTTGGGAGGGCAAGAGGGGCATTGACAAGCTAATGGAAAAATGGGTGTTCACCAACGCTAAACTCAGGTTCCTTTCTATGTCCAACAACGGCGGCAGATCAGGGAACTGAGCTGAGATCTGAGGAATATTACCAGCTCCTTACTGTAAGCATGTGAGTACTTTCCTCATTAACCCTTAAACGGTCCAAACAAATCGACATTCAAATTCGTAGTGCTACAAAAGTAGATCTACTTTTTTTTACATATTTTCAAATATAACAAAAAAAATGTAGATAAAAGTTTTTTTACACGTTTTCAAATGTAAAACAAAAAAGAAGATCTGCATTTTTTTACATACTTTCAGATGTTGAAAAAACTTATATATACGTTTGGACCATTTAAGGGTTTAAAAACACCACTTAAAATATTACCAAGAATTTGAAAAACAACTTTCATTTAAGCAAATACTGCAGTACCTTTAATAAACTTTTATATACAGTAGGGCCCCACTTATATGGCAGGTTAGGTTCCAGGCTACCGCCGTAAGGCGGAAATCGCCGTAAAGTGGAACACCCTTTTTGTTCCTTATAAATGCATGCAAATACTAGATAACAAGTTTACACTAACATATATTAAGTTAGCAATAGAACTAGGCATCAAAAAAACAATAAAAAACTACAATACACACATAGTGCACTCATTATTTAACTTAAAATATTTATAGTCTTTATCTAGGGTGAGACAAGTAGTATTGATTGTAAGAAATCAAGTGTGGTAAGTATAGTAGTCAGCCAGGCTACCATACCAGGCCATTCCACCCACACACATATTCTATGATATTTAAGCATCCCAGAGCGATAAAATGTATATACAGTTCACTCATTACTTACCTTAAAATATTTGTAGTCTTAATGTAGGGTCAGGGTTTGTAAAGGAGATAAAACGAATAAATGAGAGAGAGAGAGAGAGAGAGGAGAGAGGAGAAGAGAGAGAGGAGAGAGAGAGAGAGAGAGAGAGAGAGAGAGAGAGAGAGAGAGAGAGAGAGAATGAGTGCATGAGAGGGGACAGGCGCAGAGTTATGTAAACAAACCAGGCGAAGGCAAGTTTTGTAAACAAAGTGTACACGTCTGGTTTGTGTACAAGTTACATTGTGTACAAGTTGTCTCTACATTGATATAAAGAAGAACACTCCCATTCTCATGTAACACCATTTTTAGAAGAAATGACACTCTGAGTGAAGGCAATGGAAATAAGTCACTCTGACTTTTTTGGGGCTATCCTGGGCTCTCTACACATATGCTGCTATGTATGATAATCTATGTAACTGTATTTGTGTATACCTGAATAAACTTACTTACATACATACGAAAGGAATAATTTTCTACTGTTACCCCCAGTAACACATTTTCTCTTTTGTTAGACTAGAGAAAATGTTATTCTTGCCGTTACTTGTACAAGTTATCTGGCTACCACATCTCATATTTATGTTTATTTAAATAAAAAAAAAAAGGCACAATACCGTGACTGGAAGGATACACAAATAACCCGCACATAGAAGAGAGGAGCTTACGTCAGCGTTTCGGTCCGACCTGGACCATTTACAAAGTCACACTAACCAGAAGTGGAGCAGGATGGCTATATATAGGTGGTGGTTGTTGTTGTTGTTGTTGTTGTTGTTATGTTTATTTATTCTGTTGTGAGGTGTATTTATCCTTTTATGTCATGTATCGTGTTTATTATATAATTTTTGAAAAAAATATCATGGATGGATTAATGAAAATGTGTATATTAACATAATATATGACATTTAATGAGACTCGGTGATAATTATTATTATTATTATTATTTTTGTCATTTCTAATATGGCGTCACTTGTGCAAGTCATCTGCTACCACATCTCCTATTTATGTTTATTTATTCTACTGTGCGGTGCATTTATCATCTTTATATGTTATGCATTGTGTTTATTATATAATTTTGAAAAAATATCATAGATGGTTTAATTAAAATGTGTATATTAACGTAATATACGACATTTAATGAGACCCGGTGATTATTATTATCATTACTAATATGACGTCTCAAGATATAAGAGAATTACTGATTTTAATGTGTACCTGCATGCTAGCACAATATTTAAGTTTATTTAGGTACAGGTATACATAAGTATAATTATCAGAGTACATATAAAACATGAAATAACTTTTAAAAACACTTGAAATATTAAAGTTTCTGGACATAATGAAGAGACTTAGTGCTTACAGATCTCACAGAGAATGTAAACAAACCGGGTGGGGTGCGGTGACCGTATTAGAAAGTCAGGTGGGGGGAGCCGTATAGCGAGTTTTGGTCATAATTTCAAATGACCGTATTAGCGGAACGCCATAATGCGAAACGCCGTAAAGCGAAACACCGTAAAGCGCGGTCCTACTGTATATATATCAAGCAAATATCGCAAACCAAGCGATACAAGATGCAAAACAACCACAGGGGGAGTAGAATGATAGCTCTAGGCCTTTCATGTTGCAATCAACAGATCAGGAGCTTGCAAAATGTAGAAAAGAGGAGGGTTTCCTGGGAATGTATATACAGTGGTCCCTCTATAATCGTAGGGCTCGAGAGTCATAGATTTCGGAAATCATAGCGATATTTCCATATAAACATGGGCTCGCTAATTGTAGATTGACTCGCGAATAGTAGTTCGTCCGGGAAGCGTATGCACGCTGTGAGCCGGGGCGGCCTCCCTTCCCAGCCAGTGTGGCATTGTTTACCAGTGAGCGACGGCCCCCTCACTTGCTCCTACGAAATATTTCATAATATTCCATTCATTTTATTGCTTGCAAGTACTAAATAAGCTACGATGGCTGCAAAGAAAGATCCTAGTTCCAAGCCTTTGGTAAAGAAGGTGAGAAATACGACTGAATTTAAGAAAAACATCAATGAACAATATGAAAGTGGCTTAAGTGCGGCTGAACTGGCCAGGATGTATAACAAACCCTGTACAATCATATGTTCCATCGTGGCCAAGAAAAAGGAAATCAAGGACGCTGTTGTTGCAAAGGGGGTAAATATGCTGACAAAAATGAGATCACCAGTACTCGAAGAGGTTGAGAAGTTATTATTGGTGTGGATAAACGAGAAACAATTAGCAGGAGAGAGTATTATGACGACGATTATTTGTGAAAAGGCTAGGCAGTTGCACGACGATCTGGTAAAGAAATTGCCTGCAACTAGTGGTGATGTGAGTGAATTTAAGGCCAGCAAAGGTTGGTTTGAGAGATTTAAGAACTGTAGTGGCATACACAGTGTGGTAAGGCATGGTGAGGCTGCCAGTTTGGACCACAAAGTGGCTGAAAAATATGTGCATGAATTCAAGGAGTACATAGAGGCTTGAGGACTGAAACCTGAACAAGTGTTCAATTGTGATGAAACAGGCCTCTTTTGGAAAAAAATGCCAAAGAGGACCTACATTACACATGAGGAAAAGGCACTGCCAGGACACAAGCCTATGAAAGACAGGCTGACACTCATGTTCTGTGCTAATGTTAATGGGTATTTCAAAGTGAAGCCATTACTAGTGTACCATTCTGAAAATCCCAGAGTGCTCAGGAAAAACAATGTTATGAAGAGTAAATTGTGTGTTTTGGAAATCTAATAGTAAGGCATGGGTCACGAGGGAAATTTTCGTTGAGTGGTTCAATGAAGTGTTCGGCCCTAGTGTGAAAGAATTACTCCTGGAAAAGAAATTGGATCTCAAGTGCCTCCTAGTAATGGACAATGCCCCTGTCATCCCCCAAAACTTGGATGACCTAATTTTTGAGGAGTTTGGGTTTCATCACAGTAAAGTTCTTCCCCCCGAATAACCACTCCTCTCCTCCAGCCCATGGACCAGCAGGTCATTGCAAATTTTTAAAAAACTCTACACCAAAAGCAATGTTTCAAAGGTGCTTGAATTGTACCTCAGACACTCACTTGACCCTAAGAGATTTTTGGCGAGAACACTTCAGCATCCTCCATTGCATAACCCTTATAGGTACGGCTTGGGAGGGAGTGACTACCAGGACTTTGAACTCTGCTTGGAGAAAACTGTGGCCAGATTGTGTTGACAAGAGGGATTTTGAAGGGTTTGGGGCTGACCATGATGAGCCTATGTCTGTTGTTAAATCTATTGTGACACTGGGGAGTTCCATGGGGTTGGATGTGAGTTTGGAGGATGTGGAAGAGTTAGTGGAAGACCATAATGAAGAGCTCACCACTGAGGAGCTGCAAGAGCTTCAGTAGCAAGAGCAACAGATGGCAGCTCAGAATCTTGCTGCGGAGGAGAAGGAAGAGAGACTTAAGAAGGTGCCTTCTTCAGAAATTAAGGAGATTTTTGAAATGTGGGGCAAGATGGAAAGATTTATGGAGAAACATCACCCTGACAAGGCTGTTGCAAGCCATGTTGGCAACATGTACAGTGACGAAGTCATGCCCCATTTTAGGGAAGTGTTAAAGATACGCCAGAAACAGAGCTCTCTGGACAGTTATTTTGTGAGACAGGACTCCAGTGACTCTCAAACTGGTTCTAGTGGCATTAAGAAACAGAGAAGAGAAGTAACCCCAGAAAAGCAATTGGTACCTGAGGTGTTGATGGAAGGGGATTCGCTTCCAAAATGTAAATAATACAATCTCTCTCCTCCTCCAGTCTCCCATACACTAATTACAATCGCCAATAAAGGTAAGTGTTATGCTGTTAATGTTTCATTCATCATGTCCCATTGTATTGTTTATGTACTATATCTATATTTCGTGTAAAAATTTTTTTTGTTTTAATACTTCTGGGTGTCAGGAACGGATTAATTGTATTTACATTATTTCTTATGGGGAAAATTGATTTGAAAATTGTAGATTTCGATAATAGTAGCACCTACAGGAACGGATTAAATACGATAAATGAGGGACCACTGTATACATACATGTATATGTATGTATGTATATATATACATATCTATATATATATATATATATATATATATATATATATATTATATATATATATATATATATATATATATTATATATATATATTACATATATATATATATATATATATATATTTTTATTATTATTTTTTATTATCACACTGGCCGATTCCCACCA